ACATAGCCAGGCACGGCCCAGGAGGTGGAAGATGACTATGTTCAAGGTCACCTGCACTGGAACCAAATCCATGTCACTGAGCATCAGATCACACTAAGTATGTTATATGAGAAAAGAGTCAGAGAGAGAGTCCATACCTGGAACTGTGGGCTGGGTACTGTGTTAAGTTGGAACTGTGGGCTGGGTACTGTGTTAAGTGCTTCACCCACATTGCTTCTGTCAAGGACAAAACACACATGGCATTCTGGCAACCAGACAGAAGCATGCATATCTACTAAGCGCTGATGGCCCTCGCTGGCATTATAGGCAGGGCAACCCTGACTTCAAGTTCATAGCTATAAAATAAACTGCTTCAATGGGACTTGGGAAAACTGCCGGGGAGTATATGAGAGTGCTTTAAAGTCACAATAATGAAAAAGAATTTTCCTGTAGGAATGCCAACACTGAACGTGTTTTTATAGCTGGGCGCTCATGGCCATAAAATCCGAATTCTCCCAGCTCTCCCAGTGATACCTCACATTGCACCTTCCTTATCCCCACCAGCTCTGACCCTGGGGAGGCATGCTATGTGTTCTCTTTCCCTCCTGTGGTCTTCCTAGCATGCTATGTAAAGTGTCTCCAACAGGCATGTGTTCACAGCGGCAGTCTTTCAATCTGTTGTTCTTGTGGTTTGGTAAGAGGGAGGGGGACCCTATAAAGCCAATTGTATAGCGTTGTATCATGGCCACCAAAATGCAGAAGAAAAGCTTATATTATATTAAACGGCAATGGTCTCTGAGCAACCTGGCATCCACTGCCCAAAGGAAAACTCAGAAGTCAGCAAACCTTCTGGTCCTGTGTTGGTGCAAAGCAGGGTGCTGTCTGACCACACCTTTGACTTGGTGGTAAACTTTTAACTCCCATTGGTGCACAAAGAGTCTTGCAGCCTCAGTGTGAAAAAGCAATGTATTTGGAGGCCTTTCCCACAAGGGTGCCAGATCCACCTACATTCATGGACTTTATCTCATGGAATCTGAATGATTCCTATCTCCATTTAACAGCCCAGGTAAAGGAGGTGAGACCTTCTGAGACTCACAGAGCAGGAAGCAGTGGGGTGCTGTGGTTGCAATCTCCTCCGGAGATCTCAGAGCAGGACCGAAGCCCTGCACACACCCCACTCTACCACACAACCTGCAGGCTCCTGCCACATACCGAGAATTAGTGGAGACACTAGGATATGGCTGTACGTAAGAGTCTGTAAGTAAGACCTGTATCCCAAGCGATTCACTTTGAGACAGAGAATAGGAGAGAAAGCAGACAGGTTCTGCTTGAGATGAGTCTTGTGATAAAAGTATCCAGGTCTCCCTTAGGCAGAAGAGAAGAAAGCATGAAATGACTGTAGTCAGGGGAAGTTCCTCTGAGGCAGAGATATTACCTGAAAACTGTGTGATAAATAGGAGTCAGTCATGGACAGAAAACAAGGGCAAAGCCCAAAGGTTAGAACTAGCTCAACCTGGGACCAAGGTAGAAGCAGTAGCATAGCCAGGAGGTCACGACTGAACACCAGAAGAATGATGGACGGATGTTGACCACAGGTCTTGAGGACAGAGCAATGAGACTGAACATTAGAGAACAGGACAGACATCGAAGGGTTCTGGCATGGAGGTGATAAGTCAACTTTGCATTGGAGATGACTTTTTAATGCCAGTGTGTATATGTCTGCATGCATGTGCATATGTGCATCTGGGTGGATGTACATGTTGTGTGTGTTGAGTGGAACAAGGGAGAAGGCTACATGACGATCAGGGAAGCAAAATGATACTGCTCTAGACACCAAGACAGGACTGGATGAGATCTGCTGTACTGAGATGGGGGGGGGAGAGATATGGGATCCATTTACAAACAACGTCATCTGGATTTGAAGGCTTGAGAATGAGCAGCAAGGGAGGCACTCAGAATGACTGCCGCACCAGTGACACAACAGGTTAGGTATAGGGCTGTCTATCCGAGGTTGTTGTAGCAGGATGAGGGGGCACAAAAGAGCCCTGTTTCAGGCAGGCATACCCCGCCTCTGCCCACACAGGAGACAAGACACACTCAGATAACACCCCTCTCTGCCCAGCGTCTTCCTGGAACACCAGCCAGTCGGGCCCTGCGGCAGCCAGGACACTGCGCTCTCTAGATTGGGTTCCTGGAAAAACTGTTCCATTATTGATAAGGAGCCCTCCTGACATCATGACATGATGAAGAGGCGTTTCCTTGCTGCCCTACAGATCTAGGTTCTCTGGCTCAGAGTTGGAGTGTGCAGGATGCTGGGGGAGGGACAGTGCAACCATGACATATAGCCAGAAGAAAATACCACAGAGGAACACGGCATTGTGACAATCACATTCTCCTTCCAAGGGACCACAGTCCTCCTAAGAACTCTAAGGAAAAGGTCCAAGTTCTCCCCACCTCACAGAGGAGAACGCTGAGGCAAAGGAAGGTTAGGCAGGTTGCTCCAGCTTATCTATCCTGCAACAAGAAGGGCCAGGTTTAAGATGTACCCATCTGGCTCTGGTTTGGAGCACTGCACTTGCTGAATCGCCCCAGGTGCTACCCAGCTCAAGTCAGGAGCTGGGGCAGGCACAGAAGGCATTCTCTGCCCTTCCTTACTTGAAGTGAGTTAGTTAGAGCTGGGGTGTTAGTGGCAGAGCCTTAACACAGCATGTGCAAGGCTCAGGTTCCATTCCAATACCACATAAATGTGAACTAGCAAGATGAAATGATATGGGGAAACACTAAGACTGTCAGGCATGAATATTAAGTGCTTGTCTCTTTCTTCCATTCCTCTGGGTAAGGAATCTTGCCCTAAACCTGGGCAGCTAGGAAGCAGTGGTGCTAGTATCTGAACACAAGTAATATAACCCAAGTGCACTGGGCAAACTTATAGATGCATATGGAATATAAAATGCCCAGGTTCACTGCACAGACTATTAGTGTCTCGGGAAGAGCACACACTGCTCCCACCTCTCACAATGCCCAGTACAAGAGTCACTCTGTGACTAAGCATTTCATCCTCTGACCTTGGGTGAATGACATTCTTCTCGGAAACTCAGAAGAGAGGAAATGAGACCCTAGTAAACAGGGCAAAAGATAATGAGCCTAGGGTTGGTTCTACCCTAGGACAAGAGCCAGGTATGCAGGTATGCCCTCTGGACCACTGCTGGTAACACCTAAAAGCCTCTGGCCCATTGTCTCCCAAACACAACTAACAATACTTCCCACCTTCAGAGCTTTGATGAAGGCTGAAGAAACTATAAGCAAATATAAGGTGTGTGGATTGTGCACAATAAGGATTAGCTTTTAGTATTTATTCTCTCTTTAAAATTTTTTAATTGTATTATTAGTGGGAGAGGAAGTGCAGGTATGTGCATACCGCCGCTCCTATGTGGAAGGCAAAGAACAATTGCTGGCGTTGGTTCTAGGGAGCCCACTAAAGTCATCAGCTCCCATGACAAGCACTTTTACCTGTTCAATCATCTTACCTACCCTGCTCTCTCTCGCCTTCTCTCCTCCCCCTCCATACTCCAGATAGGTGTGTGTGTGTGTGTGTGTGTGTGTGTGTGTGTGTGTGTGTGTGTGTGGTTCTTCTACAATAGGCAGATGTTACTGGCCAGTAATTTGGCTGCTCCATTTCAGAATACCGAAATGGGAAGCACTTGACAATTATACTTCAACAAGAAACTGCCAGCGGTGTATGTGTTCTGAATAAATGGGAGAAAGCCAACCACGACAGGGCTAGGCTCCTTGCATCTAATGCAGAGCCAGCATCCACCTTACTTGATCTCAAGCCCATGCTGCATAATGGGCTCTAGTTAGGCGGACACTATGAATGCGCTCATTGGCAGTACACATCAGAGGAGATGAGCAGTTTGGGCATCAAAGACAGAGGGAATAAGTGCTAGTGTTCTGCAGCATAGGGGATGACTGCACCTCACAATGATCCATTATCTGTTTTACGAATAACCAGTGGAGGGGAGCTCAAAGGCTCCAAACGAAATAATGATGGCAAGGGAAACAGAAACCCCTTGGTTTGATCAGTCCGCATTGTAGACGTGTATTGAAATAGCACGTCACGGCCCACAGTCAAGTACAACTATGTTAGCTGAAATTATTTTAACTGGTCTTTAAAGAGTAGGCCTACAACGGCCAGCAGGCCAGCACACTCGGTGATAGGCTCAGAGATGAACAAAGCATACATGCACAGGGGCTCTGGGGGGCTCATTCATGCTGTCAGCCCATGCATATGCATGAAGTAACTGTTCAGTGACCAATCCAGAGACAGCTTCTGAGCAGAAAAGAACTGAACGTCCGATCAGGGAAGCGACCAGAAACCTTATTAAAACCCACATTCTGCCTCTTAAGTCTCTTTGAAGCTTGGTTCCCTTGTTTGTAAAAGTGAGGGTAATATAACTAGAGTGGTCTGGAATATTAAATTAGAATATTGAAGTGAGAATGGTCTGAGACAATGCTTGAAAAGTACTAAGGGCTTAATAAATGCCACTTAATTGGGAGTCTGAGGGCCACAGAGACATACCAACTTAACAAATACGTATTGGTAGTCTACAATATGTCAGCCTTGTGCCAGGTTCTGGGCATATGGAGACAAAACATGGCATTGTGGGGGGGCTTCCATAATTTAACTGGACATGCTCATCCCTCTCCATCTATGATTTCTGAATCCATGGATTCAACCTAATGTCAAAAATACATAAAAAAAAAAAACAATGGCATCAATTACCAAGCATGTTTAGACTCTTCCCTACTTTTACTTCCCAGATAATATAGTGCAGTTACTATGTCTGCAGCACTTACATTACATTAGCTACTGTGGGTAATCCAGACGTGACTTAGCACACATGGGAAGATACATGAGGTTATATGTAGGTTTTGCATCATTTTATGTAAGGGACTAGAGCATGTACAGATCTTGGTATTGGGGGGGGAGACTCAGTACATATCATCAGCTCTCCCAAAGATACTAACAAAAGTCACATGCTTTATTTGTGCATATGAAATCAACACAAACAAACCAGTCAAGACAAGTCACTTGTGAGGGACATGAAAGAGCTGGAAATTCTCTTAGGTTACCACTTGCATTGAAGATCATGGCCATAGAGAAAGCTTAGGTTCAAGACACAATTCACTTGGAGTGGGGTAACCTGCAGAGGGACAGAAGGCAATGTCAGGAGGCATCCATGTTTGTCAGAAAAATATAAGCTTGCCTTGACTACCTTTCTACACAATCCAAAAATCAGACCATTATCACTGGGGTTTTGCTGGAAATTCTTCAGTCTCAGAGAAACAATCGCTTTCCTGGGCACCAATGTTCCTGAGACCTTCCCTTGCTTGGACAGCCTCTACTCTCTGTCTTCCTGCTCTGTGCCTCTGGGAGGCTGTTCCTTCTCCTATAGGTCCTGATGAGGGAACAGGATTGGGAAGTCTGAGATGGGAATGGTGGCTGGGGGCATTTACACCCCATCTTCTCTCTTAGAAGGCCACAGTGTGTTCTGTGAGACCCTCCGCCAAAAGCCATATTTCCTGCCAGGTGGCTGCCTCCAGGGTGCTCTCCATCCCTATACCCAAAGACCCAGAGGAAGTGACAACAGGGGCTATTATCAGCCCCAGGGGATTATATTCCGTCTCATGGGTTCCCCTCACCTTTGTAAATAGCTCCTTCATTAAACTCTCCTCACATCTTGCTTAATTTGAACGATGCCATCTGTTTCCTCTGGGCCACTGACTGACACTTCTAGGTACCCAGCCTGGAGGCTGCTGTGTTCTGTGCATATGTTTTCTGGACCAGTGGGAAATAAGGCTGGAAATTTGGCCATAACAAGATTGTCCTTTCAAATCTTCTTCACACATCCTGCTTGCTGCTCAGCTGGGGCTAACCATGGGAGTTGCCCCCTCCCCCAATTCCTAGGAAAAGCTCTCTCCCATCTATTCTGGGACCAAGGACCCAAGAGGTATGTGTGGGGACAGAATTCACATGGACCATGGAAACTGCACACCTATCACACGGTGTTTCTCAGGACTCCATAGAAGCCTGTGTGCTAAAGCTCCTGGTGGAATACCCGGCTTACAGTAAGGAATTTGGGTCCTTTCTGGTTCTGTGATTGGCTGGACTTCAATTCCCAGGAACTCCATGGATATTGCTCTAAAGGCCTGCTTGGCTCTGTAGCCACCTGTTGTTTCTACATCTGTAGCACAAATTCTAATTGGTCTTAATAACAAAAATTCAGAGTCAGCTATCAGGGAGTGAAAGCTGAAGGATCAGAAAAGCAGAGTGTCCAGCCACTAGAGTTCTTACCTCTATCAATTCTCAGACCAAATAGAAAATCCTGTCCTTAGACTGCCTCTTAGACTGACTGCCTAGACTGCAACCTCAGACTGCAATGCTGTCTCCTCCTTCATTATAGTCCTCTCTCAGCCAAGCCACATCATTCCTGTCTCCACCTCCCTAGTGCTGAGATTACAAGCATGGAATCCCAAGTGCTGGAATCACCTTTGTGTGAGCTGTTTCTCTTTTAGACTGGATCAATTTTTCTGTAGCCCGGGGTGGTGTGCCTCTGTCTCCTGAGTCCTGGGATTAAAGGTGTGTGCCACTACCGCCTGGTCTCTAGTGACTTAGCTCTACACTCTGATCTTCAGGCAAGCTTTATTTGTGAAAACATTAACAAAATATCACTACACACATCTCCAATGTATAGAATTGTAATTCACATTTTTAAATCTCCTACTAGTGGTCAAGCACCTCAGACCACAGAGAAGACAATAGCCATTGGCACAGTAAGCAGTTTGATTATCCACTTACTAACCTAAAGTTTGGGTCAGTTTCTTAACTGTTAATGCCTCAATTTCCTCATTGTAAAATAAATATATCACCCACCTTTAAATTTGCCAAGAGGAATCAACGAGAAAAGCATGTGAAACATTTATGCTCATGTGTTATGGCTACGCCCATTATCTTAGTTAATCCTTATGACAGTCCTAGAAGCACGTGAGACCGTTACAGCTTTGCAATCTTGGTCTGTTACTATGGTCATGAGGATATATTGTGTGACAGAATTCAAGCATCAGAGTGTAATAAATATATGAGCCATGGCTGCTGTGTACTGAGTCATCACTATGCACCAGCAACCGTGGAAAGCTCTTCATGCGCAGTATCCCGATTTCAGGTCAAAACAATACAGCCTATTTTCAATCCTATTCTCCATGAGAACCTGGGGAACCAAGGCTTAGGTTACACACACAAGGACATGAATAGAAAGGGCCTCCAGTGGGACTGAAGGCTAGTTAGTCTCCGTGCTCTTGACCACCGAGCTCTCCACTTCAGGGACCCCCTGAAACCCTGTCTGCCGTGTAAACGGTATCCTACCATAAACCAGGCTGGCTTTCTGCTGTGACAGTGGGAAGCAGAGCTGAGTGCTGAGGCTGGCAAATGCAGCATCTGCTGTAATCTACTCCATTATGGAATGTGCAGTGGCTCACATTAAAACAAAAGACGGAGAAATAGTAGAAAGACGGGGTGCTTAGAGCTTTGCCAGTTGAACAGTGGCACCTGACATCACCAAAGCTGATCACAGCAGCCACCAGATGGGAAGCCTGAGAGGATCCTAACTGTCTATGCCATCATGATCGCAGCCTGTAGAGCAAGAAAAGGCACTCTGACAAGGTCCCTTCAGGCTCCCACAGCCTAGCCCTGCTGAACAAGGCAGCATCCCTGCCTCAGAGGAGCCCATCTAGGGACAACAGCTGCTTTCTATGCATTCTCATTCCTGCCTCTGTCTGAGCTTGTAGTGTGCAGCAGAACTGGGGAGATTCCCCCCATGTCCCCTTCAAGAAGGTTCACTCATGATCCTAGTTTTCTTTCCAGTGCTATGATAAGTCATTCTGATGAAAAGCAATTCAGCAGGAGGAAGGATTTAACTGGCTTAAACTTACAGGTCATAGTCCATCATTGAAGTAAGCCAGGGCAGAAAACATGGAGGAACACTGCTTGCTGGCTCATTCACCACCTCATGCTTGGCTAGAATCTAAGACAGCCTAGGACCACTTGCCCAGGGAATGGCACCTTCCATAATGACCTGGGGTCTATCTACAACCATTACCTATTAAGACAGTCTTTAACAGACATGCCCAAAGACCAACCTGATAAGGAAAGTCCTTTCTCAGGTGATTCTAGGCTGTGTCGAGTTGACATTTTAATGCTAAGTAGGACACTTGGATGAAAAGGGTGGAAAGTAATGTGATGTACCTTTATCCATTACAAAGTTAGAATAATGAACAATGGTGGGTCAGACACATAAAAGACACTGAGATGAGGTTAAGGAAGTAGAGTCCTTCCCAGGACAGAACATCAACAGGACTTTGAGGCAAGCAGCTACCATACTAGAGGGGCTAAAGCTTTGCTAGAACCAGCTCAACTATGCACTGAAACTTTCTGGTCCAGGAGACTTTCAGGACGTACAGTCTGGATTCTACATCTGCTCAGCCTTTGGAACTGACCTTTAGCCAGGGTCATGTAACATCCCCAACCCCCACCCCACCATGATGAGGGGATCAGGAAAAGAGGTCACCTGACTCAAGATAGACCAATCATAATCTCACTGGAAGTTATAACCCCAAAGACCCTGGATTTCTCCATATTTTTTCCTTTAAAATTTTACACATGCTTTATATACTACTATAGCTCAAGGGCCCAAAATAAGGCCTGCCACTAGCAGGTGCTTAGTGTTTATTTTGAGCTAAAGTTTGGCCAATTAGTCTCCCTAGAGAGAGTTGAAGTTCCTTAACCCAGGAGCTGGGACACCCATGCTGTGAAAAATGGAAGGGAACTGGCAGAGGGTCAAGGAGGAGGATGAGCAAGGAGAAGGATGGAGAACATGACAAACTTTTTAAATCCTTTTCAATATTCTTATCATAATGTTCTTTCTCCTGAAGCTAGCTTGCATGGGTCTCAATATTTAAAAATCAAGTCATTGCAACACAATAGCAGTGTTTTCCTGAAAACCTTCCTCAAAGGGATTGAAGAGAATCCTGTGAACGCTTGAAGTATTTTTAGCTGAGTGCTCTTGAGGCCCTAGGGACAACTTTAGTGTTTCCCCAGATACCTTGTCTGACCTGTCTCCAGAGGAAGGCATGGGAAGGCAGCACGCTGCCAGCTCCAGAGTCTGACAGCCTGCTTCCAGTCCTGGTCCATCCTTGTCACCCTGCAGCTAGAAGCAGCTGATGCAACTGCTCCTTCCCCTGTAAGAGAGGCTGTAGCCGTACCTGCTCCAAGAGAGACTTTGAAAATATGGACATGTCCATACTGGATAACATGAAGACACTGGGAGAGCAGGACTGGTGTTGGCTCCCACTTCCCTTTGAAGGTGCTCATGTTGTACCATATGTCTCTTGCTCCTTGCATTCTCTGATCTCGGTTAGGTAATGACAATAATAAAAGGTCTGTGGTCACTTTAAGTCAGAGACACTGCCTCCGTTCATTGTGTAATTCTTCCCTCTCCTTCCTGCTTGGGTTGCTGCCAGCAAAACCTGTGGATCCTGCACTTCTGCTCTTCCACTAGCTTGGGGACTTAGTTTCTGGTCCCTCCAGGAATCGTGGGGGGTAAGGAAGGAAGCTAAAGGGGAATGGGAAGGCTCTTAAATGGTTGGTACTGCCAAAGGTTGGCTTTGTCCTCTCAGAGGGCAGCAGGTGCATTCAGTGGACATTCTCCTTCCTGGAAGATCTATATGGTTAATGGAGGCAGCCTTCCCTGGCCACCTGTGACGTCAGCTCTGTTAGTGTAGACAGGTTTCCCGTTTGAGCAGCTCTTCTCGTTCCCCAACACTCAGGTCCTTCCTCCTAGATCCAAGGCTGGCATTCCACTGCTGCTCTAAATATGATGTTCTGTCCTGTTTTACTTGCCTCTGTCCTAACAATGTGGGTCATGCCCCGACTTCTTCTAGGCTGCCACCAGCCACTGTAGCTTCCACAAGCAGGAAAAATACTCAAGTCCATCTCTTGCCCCAGCTGCAGGCCACACAGCCATCTGAGAACCTCCATGGATCAGGGCTGAGAACAAGAGAATATACTCCTTCCTAGAGCAGTCTTCACATACTCATCCCAAATCAACAACACTTCAGTTCTTACACCCAAACAAGAACAAGACTTGAGAAATGTGTCACTGAATTCTTTTCAATATTCTGTACTTGGCTGGCCTACCTCATCTAGCCTGTGAAGTGTAGCAGCTGTTAGATCTGGTGCCTCTGTGGAAGCTTCAATTGAAAACTCCTCTAACATGCATTTTTTCAAAATGTGTGGCAGGCATGAAGCCCCAAGTTCAATCCCCAGCATTAAAAATTAGAAAAACATCGGCATGCACGGCTAAGCTGGAGAAGCTGAGGCAGGAGGCTCACCTTATAATAGTGTTGAAGGCTGACCTGGGCAACAGAGTAAAACCTCACTGCAAAACATATAAAGGGAAAAGTTCAAAATATGTGAGGTTGAGCAACTGTCCTCATAGCCAAGGCGAGACTCTGATCCAGCTCACCTGCGAACATACAGCTGGGAACTTGGTCACATTTGCACCCACATCTGCCTTTCCATTGCTGTATTACAGCTCTTAAATGAGGACAGACAGGGCTGCGTAACCTTGCTTTGTGGGGTCTGACATGTGGCCCCAGGTCTCCTATAGTCCCAGGGGCACTATTGAATCAGAGGGTGTCCCAAGAGGCCTGCCTGGAAAGGCAACAGCAAGTGAGACGCAGAGGGGAATATCCCTGAAGTATATGCAGGCGGCTTGCACCAGATGGGAACTGGATCCAGAGAACTGACAAAGGAAAGCATTTCTTCTTTTGCCACACATTCCCTTCTCCGCTACCCACACTGGCACACACTTGTAGACCAGGGCTGCCAAGGCTCAATAATGAAACATGGGGAAAAAGTGAGAGTTTTGGGGCCTCCCCATTTTCTGAACCCTAACCCCACATAATCCCACATAACACTTGCAATGTTCATGTGTTTGAGGATTTTCATAGGGAAGGCTGAGATTACTTGTACCAAAATTTGAGGAGCAAATGGTAGCAGAAGGTACATATAAAGATAGCTTGATAGCCTATGACCACTTCCACAGTGGGTAAAAACACACCAGCCCCTCCCTTCTCCTCCCTGTCATGTCACCAATACCTTCTAGTATTCATTCCTGGGCTAGCTCTAGCTACTACACCATGAGATTATCAACCTCTTCCCACTTTCCAGAGGCTCCAGTTCCAGTGAGAAAAGCCAACATGCAAATCCAGGATAGAAGAGTAAGGATGAATATGGTCTAGAGCCACATGGTGACACCACAGCCAACCAAGGGACTGCAAGGATCTTGTAAGGATAATAGAGTGCTCGAAAGGATTCTTGTTGCTGAGTGACAGCATGGCCCAAATGTAGTGGACGTAGTCTGTATGTCTGTGGCGCTGCAGGCACCAACAGCTGCACTTTCAGGAACACCAGTGGGTAGTCCATAATTCTTGGTTGCATACTAGCTTATGTATTTACTGTACTATATGGCTGTCATTATTTTAGAGTGTGTTCTGTTGCTTATAAAACTATCTTAGTTATAAAAGTGGGCCGCACATACACACTTGGTATTTGTCTCAAGGCATCAGAAGACCAGGCCAAGAACGTGACCTAGACCTACAGATACAGTTCACAGACTATCCTGCATCTCTGCTGTGGGGACAGAGTGGGGAGGGGCCAGATGAGCTCTGAGGTAATCTTCCAGATGTTTCATGACTGGCACTGACTGACCAGGGAAAAGACTGCCTGCCCATCTAAATCGATGCCAGCCCAGCGCTGACAGAAGCAGTTTCTTGGAAGGCTGATGCTTGCGCTTAGTCACGATTCACTCGACAGACGTACTGAATAGGAGCAGCCCTTGCGAGGGAACCTGCAAAGGCAAAGAAGGAGAAGAATTCTAGGGGAATGCTCAGGACTTCTTTGTTGTAAATCTCTCACAGCTGAATGCAGTCAGTAGATGCCAGTTGAATTTACAAGAGAATACAAACAAGAGAATGAAAGGAGTGGAGGAGGTGTGATACAGACCCACAGTGGAGACGGCTGCACAGCAACAGTAAGGCGGTGACATGGCTTCAGTCGACTGCAGAGGATGGCGTGCCAAGAACTTCCCCTGTCTCTGCTGTTCCATCCTGCCTGCCATGGCAAGGACATTGGCCAAGATTACAGATAGGACGCTATCGGAATGCCTAGAATAGCCCCCACCACATATTCTTCCATAGGTATTTGTCTTACCCAGAGAAAATAGTACCAGCTTATACAGCCAAGCCTATGTGACCCTGAGTATCTTCTCTTAGCACATATTCTCAGAGTGTAGTTGGACAACTTGGGTGAATTGGACACAGAAATAAAGCTGTTTATGTGTGTATAATTTGCACACAGCATCCTAGATGCAAATCTACTTCTCTTGGGGTTCAAAGAAACAATAATGAATTTGGGCCAGCTGCGGAAATCAAACAAGCTTTATATGCCATGCAAACCCAACACAAAAGATAGGACCTTTGAGAGGTGTAGTAAGCTTTTTTGTTGGACTTTCTTGAACTGTCAGCCCACAAATAATGATATGGAGACTTATTACTAATTATAAAAGCTTAGGCTTGTTTCCAACTAGCTCTTAGAACTGAACCTGTATTTTTAAATCTACATTAGACCACATGACTCATTATCTCATCTCCACACTGCACATCCTGCTTCCCTGGTCTCGCTGGTGAACCCACCCTTCTTCTTCCCAGAGTCCTCTCTCTGCCCAGAAGTCCCACCCACTCTCTCCCAATCACAACAATACATCTTCCATCTTCACGCAGGGTAAACAAATATTCCGCAGTAGAGCATCAACTTTGATAATGTACAAAGCAGTCTAAGCTCTCTATGGAAGGTCACAGACCCAGTAAGGACAACCACGTTGTCTGTAGCCTCCCAGTTGAGGGGCGGCCAGTTGGTCTGTGGGTCAAAGGATCTGGACAGTTGAGGGGCGGCCAGTTGGTCTGTGGGTCAAAGGATCTGGACAGCAATATTAGAGCATTGGTGCCCTAGGGTCTTCTGATTCTCAGTGGCCAAAAACATCCAAATTTTATCTAAAATCTAGCATTTGAGAACACAATAAAACTTAATAAACTGCTCCCTGGTTTTGTAGATGCTACCCACACGTTCTCCACCATCCTGCTGTTTCTGTAATTGGCCTTCAGACTCCAGAAATGAAGGCTCTACAACAGTCTAGGAGCTCTGAAGGTGGGACCTTCACCCTGACAATCTGCACATTGCAGCTCGGCCTAACAGAACAGTCACTGCTGGATATGTCTCTCCTGGGTGCACCAGTACCGCACGGCACCAAAATAACATTTAAATATTACCTTACACAGAGAACAAAAAAGGAAAGCCAGCTGAGTTGCTAGCTACTTCATGTGTTTATCTCAAATGCATTTTATTAATATTTTCCTTCAAATGGCTGGTCTGCTGAAGACTTGTAGAAAACAAGATTTGTGTGCATTCATTAAGCCTCTAACGTGGAAGCATATTCTCATACCAATTATTTTTTAACTAACTAATCAGCATGCTCCATTCATAAATCGGGATTTATCGGTATAGTACATGAGAGGAGAGAAGACATTTTTATTTGATTTGGTTAATATGCAGAAATGGTACTGTCTATGTAACAACCCGCTTTTGTTAAGGAGCCGCAGCTGGAAAGAGCAGCGGCTGTTAGTGAGGGCACTGCTCCCAGTCCCAGCAGCTCGCAGCAGACACTCAGTTTGCACTCTGACCTTTCAGTGCACATGCACCCCCTCACAAGCTAAAGCCTCCTGTTACTTCTGCAGATAGAACCAGTTACACCTGCTCTGGTGGTGGAAGGTGTGGGGAGAGGAGGCCGTGAGAAAGGGTCTCCCTTCCTCCCACCCTCTTCATTTCCCTCCCCTCTTTCCTCTTTCTCTCTCCTTTCTGTCTCTTACCTCCAGATACTGGCAAGGATAAAGCCCAAAGGAATATGGTTCAAAGGCAGAGCACATGAGGGCTGGAGAACTTATTTAAGAGCACACGCCCCTCCACATAGATGACGAAAGCTCAGTTCCGTTAATACGGGATTCTACACTAACCGACTGATTCTTCCCACCCTGTGCCTGGTCAGCACCACAGCCCATCTGCTATGCAAATAATTTCCCTGTTCTGAAGTCCTCCCACAGGACTGCTTTCACATGTGTCTCCTCTCGCAGGCTGACTGAAGACCAAGCCAGAACGCAGGGTTATTCAGTCCATAAGGAGCCTGGATTATCTCTTCAGGCCCTCTACACACAACGTCTCGCTTAAAACTGGAGTCTGTGTGGCTTCCTAGCCAAGACAAGAGAATTGCTTTGGCCTCACTTAGAAGTGCAACGTGGGGAGAGGTGACTGGTAGGGATCACATGACCTTTCTGTGACACACTGGAACCTATCCCAGGCACTCTCTTTCTGTCCAGCCTTGGAGCCAGACTGCTGAGGTCTCCAGTCTGGGGACATTCTGATGTAGCACATTATAGAGAGGCCCTGCTTTTGTGTTTTAAAAGAGAGTATGTCCTCTTTTAAAATTTTTCACCTGAGCTCTTTTTAAATTATGGAATGAACGCTCATTGGAGAGATTCAGAAAGAAACCATCTTTTTAAAGTCAAGAAATAACATGTCTAGGCATGGTGGTACACACTCTTAATCCCAGCACTGTGGAGGCAGAGGCAGGTGGATCTCCCTGAGTCCCGAGGCCAGCCTTGTCTACATAGCGAGTCTCAGGACAGCCAGAGCTATGTAGAGAGAACCTATCCCAAAAAAACCAAACCAAAACAAAAAAAAACCTAATATATAAGTAAGCTAGTCTGTAATAACTCCACCACCTGGAGCAAGTCACTCACCTTTGGAGTAGCTGCTTCCTGTCCCCTGTGCAGTGGCAGAACAGGTCTGCTGAGCAGGAGGGGAAGCCTGGACTTCCTCCATCCCGGAAGCTTAGAGGGTATACACATGTATCACAGTTAGTCACAAGATAAACTGTAAGACGAAGTCTGTGACTGTGGTAGAATCAGAATACCCTCTGCACTGTAGAGCTGACTTAAAGGGCCATGTCAAAGTCTAAATACAACCTGGTCAAAGAGCGCTGCTCCTGTGCTGCACCACCCGGGACACTCTGTGTACTGTTGTGTCCATCTCATTATAAGAGCACAACCATCTTCGTACTTTTATGTTTTAATTTTATTTTGTGAACGAATTCACAAGTCAGTAAAAATTCTTCTACAGCACGAGTTTAATGGCTACCCAGCATTCCACTCTACTAACTTAACCTTTTTAAGCTCTTATTCATTATTAGACAGCTTAGACGGTTCTGTCCCCTTCTGTCACTGTAAATAATACTGCTTTGAACATCTTCTTGAGGATATGACTGTAAATAAATAGGGCTGTCTTGTTTAGATAGATTCTTTTTTTTTAATTTATTTATTATGTATATAGTGTTCTGGGCACCAGATCTAATTATAGATGGGTGTGAGCCATCATGTGGTTGCTGGGAATTGAACTCAGGACCTTCAGAACAGCAGTCAGTTCTTTTAACCTCTGAGCCATCTCTCCAGCCCTAGATAGATTCTTAAAAGGAAAATTACTGGGCCATGGAGTAGGAATACTTTCTGAGTATCATGCTGTTCAATTTGTTTCCAAAAAGATGACCTATCATGGAAATTAGGGTATTTTCATTATTTCAACTAATCTTTAATTACACAAGTAATTTATGGAATACAATCTCCTTGCAAAAATAATTTAAAAGACTTAAGTCTCTTTTAATGGTCTCTTCCAATGTCTGAAGCCTTTAGAACTTAGCAATTCTCAGTTACAAAAAACCTCCAGCGATGTACTGGCTCTATTGTCTGTGTCACACTCTTACTACAGACTGTGTATCTGCGAACGAATCAAACATATGTCTCTGTGACTACAGGCATTCTGCACTTCTGTACAGGGACAGCCCCAACAAGGGTAGCCTGGACATGAGCAGAGCCTCCACAAGGGGGGCATGCACATTATTGTTCACGCCTTCAGCTGTGGGCCTTGGAGGCAGGGATACAGATATAGCTCACTCCTACCTTTCCCTGTTTTCCACGGGACAGACATCAGTCTCCTTGGCTATTCCCTACGTGTAGAAAAGTGAAGCACCCTAGTCTAGTTTTCACAAAGTGTGCTGCCAACAATACCCTTTCACATGAACTGTTTTGGTTTTATTTTCTCTGCTTGAAGCTAAGCAGTAGAATTTCTGAATCGTTCATGGGATGTGCATGCTTTCAATTTTAACGGATTCTGTCAAATTGTACAGGGCATTTAAAACTACTTTTATTGACAACTTAGGTACAATTGTCAAGGCTGTACCTGAAGTGTTCTGTTCTGTAGGTTACCTCCTAAAGGTCTCGTCACATTTTCTTCATCAGCTCTCCATCCCTGTCTGCCCAGTCCCACTGTGGTCCCTGACCTGTGGTGTACGGTGAAGGAATATGGGTTAGGTACTCTCCATCCTCTCAGGGCCCCACTGGACACCTGAACCCTTTCAGCATCTGCCAAACCCCTGCTCATCTTTCCAGACAGCACTCAAATGTCCGTTCTTGGAAGCCTTCCTTGCAGATGAGGCTGAATAAAGCAGCTAAGCTTCAGTGTCCCCATGGCACCCTTATTCATGGCCTCTTCTTGCTTACTGCAACTTGAAATATGGTTAACTCTATCTTAATAGTTATCTGGAGAGTTCGGGCTTTAATGGTGCATCACAATCGAGAGTCACCTTAAAAATGTGGATCACTGAAAACAAGAATGTCCATAAGTGTTGAAAGGAAGGAACCAAGCACAGCCTGCTGTCTTCATGGACAACACAAAAGGACTATAAAAACTAAACAGCCGACAGTTGACTCTCAACGGTGATCAGGAGTTCAATAAAAACGATGAAAAATCAGTAAGAAAGTAAGTCAGCATGTCCCACCTGCACACAGAAATTGAAAAACATTTATCCCATTGGAAAACATAACATTCTTAGTTCACCATTTTTCCACGAAACCTAGACGATTTTAATGTGATTTGTCTTTTAAAATACACCACTGAGAATGAGACAGGAACCTGCCTAAGTAGTCAGAATAAGGAGAACTCACTGTCCTAAATTTCTAGTGAGGGTGTCAACTCTGAAAAGAAAAGGCTGAGGGAAAGGGACTAGGGTTAAACAGAGCAAACATCAACAGAAGTAGCTGCTGCGGAGCTGGGGTGGTATGTGAGCCGCTTATTTTTGCCTTTCTCAGCATCCCAGTTTATCCTGCCATGTGCGAACTTTTAAATCAGAGAAACAGAAATGGCCCACACATTTTTCAGACATTAAACAAGTTTCTAAGAAGAAAAAAAGTTAGAACTGGTGCATTTGTATGCGTCTAACAGGTGAAGATAATTCCTAAATAACTTACTCCCCAAGTCCTTCTCTCAGACTAGATAGCCACTCACTCAGCATGGGGCAGAGGGCATGGTGGTTAACAATCGGGTACGGCTCCTACTCTCACACACTTCCAGGGCAGCAAGAGCCAGCAACTCAAATACCAAACAGGGTGGGGAGCAAGGGGAAAGAAGGGGAACCCACAAGCAAGGCAACTCACTAGCTGCTAGTATCTGAACACTTGGGGAAAGAGGCTAATGACAGCCCGTCTCCCACATGTTTAAAAACTTACCACAATATGCAAAAATACTGCTGTCAAGAAGTATGCCTCCAAACATTAAAATCTATGGGTGTTCAAGTTCTTTATGTAAAATGGCATGGTATTTGCATATAACCTATACAACCATCTATGATGTATTTCATCGACTCTAAAGTATTAACACAATATAAAAGTTGTGTAAATAGTCTGACAAAGTGTAATCCAGACAGTACTGCATTAAAAAAAAATCTATCCATGTTCAGTGAAATTACAGCTTTTTCCAAATATTTTTGGCCAGCACTGACTGAACCCACAGATAAGGAAGGCAGTCAGCTTCTGGGTGTCATGTGGGAGGTTTCTGTAGAGGGAAAGTAAGGATTTTATTTATATGCCACTTGACCATTGTCTAATTTTGAGAATGGCATTCTTCAGTTCTTTAATAGCATGTGAGCCTGTAAGTAAATGATAGTAGGGCTCCATGCCTGAATATTACGCTCAGGCTTCATGCATCCTTTGCTCCCAAGCAGGAATTCCATGTACTTGGAATTTGATGTGTCCCCAGGAGCCTTCAAGGAGAGGCCTGACATACGGGTCTGCATGCTTTCTTGTCTGATGCTAACTTTAACTATGTTCTCCTTCCCCCTTCCTTGGCCCGCCATCTTAACCTAGGCGCATGGCTCTCACTGCACTGCACATACACGGCTGTCATTATCTCTAGCACACAGCTGCCACTTCAGGAATTATCAGCATGTCTCCAGGACCTACTAAAGAGCCTGTCAGATGTAGACACCTGGTAGACTTTGTTTGTCTTGAGGCATATTCATCAGTTTGGCATTCTCAAATGACACATGTCTCCAATCAAAAAGTTAATCATAATCATAGTTGGTGTCTAATCTACATAGGAAGTAGAAAAAGACAAGATCTCCTGAGTAAATTGGAAATGTGGGGATCCTGAGAGAAGGTGGAAGGGGAGGGAGAGGGAAGGGAATAGAGAAAGATATATAGTTCAATAAAAACAAAAAATAATCATATTTGGTACACTGTTATTGCCTAGAAGCTACCCTAACCTCATTTAACCCTCTAGAAAACCTTCTGGGCATCATTGTCCAGGTGCAGAAACTAAGGTCAGAAAGACGAAAAGACAGGCACAGAAGTTACTCAGCTGATGGCAGAGATGGGACTTGAACCATTACCCAACTAAAACATCTGTTTTCTAACCCAGTAACTTAGTGTTTCCTGAAATTCCCCAGTCAGAGGGTTCATGAAGGGACAGTCTCTTGCTTTGATTATAACATCTGTTGGGTGAAATATGCATTTATTTCAGCATGTATTAGAAAAAAAGTTCATGACATCATTATATATATATATATATATATATATGGCATGGCATTAGTATCAGTGATACAAATTTTTCTTTTAGCTTATTTATTTAGGTTCTAA